CCTCCCCTCCCTTCCCTCCCCCCTCCTCTCCTCCCCTCCTCCCCTCCCTCCCTCCTTCCCTCCCTCCCTTTTTCCCTCTTTCCCTTCTTCCCTCCCTCTCTCCTTCCCTCTCTCCTTCCCTCCCTCTCTCCTTCCTTCCTTCCTTCCTTCCTTCCTTCCTTCCTTCCTTCCTTCCTTTCTTTCTTTGCAGTCTAATTCATAGAACAAATTCAATAGTTTTAATATATTTACAGTGTTGTGCCATGATAACCGTTACCTATCATATTAGAGTCTAAGATGTAGAAAAATGTCATCATATCAAGAAGAAATCATCAACACATAGACTTGTCAGATTATACAAATCAAATAAAGAGTTCCCGTAAAAGGAGGATGTAGCCAGGTGGGCTTGGTGGCCTGCCTGTAATTCTAGCTGTGGGAGGCTAAGGCAGGCTCTCCAGAGCAAGGTGGCTAGTGAGACCATCTAGATTGGGGAGCTCTGGCTTGGATTGAGAGATCTCGTCTCAGTAAATAAGATAGAAGAGTGATCAAGGGCGAGTCTAGAGATCAACTTCAGACCTTTGTGTGCGTTTTAACACATGAGTACATGCAAACATGCATTCACATACATGAAAATGAAAAAAGATAAAAAGGATATATTCAGTAAGGTGAGCTGTTTCCTAATATGGGCATTTCTGCACTGAACTTCTGGCTCAGTGGCTACCAGTGACATCATAAAGTATGTTGTAACAAAGACCTCTCAAGGATAACTACAGGAGCGGGTGAGAAGGTTGGTTATTTGAAGAGACTCAACCCAGCAGAAAGGTGCAGCTGAGCTCAAACCATCACAAAAAGGCACCATGGCTAGGAAGAAGCAGAGACAACGGAACATATCTCGCTCAAGGAGAGCAGAGCTTCAGTTTCCTGTTAGCCGAGTAGACCGCTTCCTACGAGAAGGGAACTATTCTAGGCGCCTAAGCTCTTGTGCACCTGTTTTCCTTGCGGGTGTTCTGGAGTACCTGACGTCCAACATCCTTGAACTGGCTGGTGAGGAGGCCCATACCAGTGGCAGGAAGCGCATCACTACTGAGCATCTGTGCCGAGTGGTACAGAACAACGACCAGCTCCACCAACTTTTCAAAGAGGGCACCAAATCTGTGTTTGAGTCATCAGAACCAGATGAGAACTGAGAATGCTTGGGTTTCAAGAGTCTGAAGATCCACCACACCTTCAGCCTCAATCAGCTCCATTGTCCTACTAAGTGGGGGAGCTAATCAAACATGCTATTAAAGCATCTAAACCAAAGCCAGTGGTCCTGACTTCTTTTGTGTTTTTTGTTTTTGAGCTAGAGGTGGCCATGAACCACCCAGGAGGGTGATGGTGGGTTTGAAGTTGTGGTTAATGTGGGGAACTTGATGTCTGGGGGAAATTTCTAAGGGAAACCATGGGGGCAATGGTCTTGGTGGGAGGAGGTGGCGAGGTGTAAGTACTGTTGACCTGGTGGGGTGGGAGGTAGAGGACAGAGAAGCTGTCCTGGTAGTCTGTGAACCCACAAGGCTTTAGGAGGCCAGGAGTTTGGCCTCCCAGGCACATTGGACTCCCAGTGAGAGCTGCTAACTAGAGATAGGTGGATGAAGACATGAACTGTGGTAGGAAAGGCTTCCTTGGAAGTTAGGTCTTAGGTTAGAAGATGATGGTAGTGGGGTGGGGGAGACCATGTGTGGTACAATCTTGACGTGAGGTTCAAGAGTCAGGAGCTTTCCCAGAGCACTGAGCAATGATGGTGAAACCAGAAGTAAAGGGAGAAGCTGGAAGAAACTGAGGAGGACGACCCCATGGGAAGACCAGCAGTCTCAGCTAACCTGGAAGCCTGAGATCTCTCAGACACTGAGCCACCAACCAGGCAGCATACACGAGCTGGTCTGAGGCCCTGACATATACACAGCAGAGGGCTGCCTGGTCTGGACTCAGAGAAGATGAACCTAATCCTTGAGAGACTTGAAGCCCCAGGGAGTGGGGAGGTTTGGTGGGGTAGGGTGGGAGGGGGTGAGGGACATCCACTTGGAGACAGAGAAGGAGATATGGGATGAGGACCAGTCAGAGGGCAGTCCAAGAGACGGATAACAACTGGATTGTAAAAAAAAAAGATTAAAGAATAATAATACACAGAAAATATAGGTGGTTTCCCTTTTCAATTTTTAAAATTACTGCCTTATTCTAAAAGGATTTACATGAAGATTAGTAGGTACATAGTACTATGATGCTGTGTAGAATATATACTTCTACAGTCTGTTTTTTTCTTTCCTTCTCCTCTCTCTCCTCTTCCTCCACTTATTTTTTGAAACAAGATCTTGCTACACAGTCCTGGCTGTCCTGGGACTTACTCTGAGCCGTTCTCAGAAGGAAACTCTGGGTTTTCAGTGACAGTATATGTCATAGAGCAGTGCCCCACTTGTCATCAGAGGCTGAGCCTGTGTTTTGGAAACCCCTAATGTTTCAGGAAACATACATGAGCTATCTAACACTCAGGAACTGCTCGCACTTAGCACTGGGCCCCTGTCTCTAAATGTCCACATGTGAAGTGTTCACTTTTCATGAGTTCCTAGCCCTTTGCTGCTGCTGGCCTTTTAGACAAAACTACTCAGGGGCTGTCCAGTCAGCTTTTCCATCAGAATCAAAAGACTTTCTTTAGTTTCTGGTCCTAGTGTACCACTCTTTTCATGTGATCTTCAACAGTCCCTGTTTCCTCTGCAGTTGGTTGAACATAAGAATCCTTACCATACTTTGGTTAACATGGTTTCCTCTACTAAAATTAATGTAGATACGGCTGAGCACCTCTTTTGCTTTTTGACTTTTCCCCTGTGACTTGTCAATACTGATGTAGCAAACTTGTTTTCTTTCCAAGGTTTCTTTGGAAATCTTAGACAGGTTTAACCATGAAACATAACATGCATTTTTAACTTCATGTCATAGGAAAGCAATATAAGTAATGTTTTAGCAGTTACTACCCCTAAAACTGTCATTTTTCACAGAAATAAAACCAGTTTTAAGGTTTGTTTTGATAAAATAACCAAATGTGTCTTTTGACTGTCTTACTAATAAACCCAGTAGAAGTTAGATAGTATTGTGGTTTTAAACTCTTAGCAGCTGTGATACAAAAACTGTACAAGATGGCCATCACCATTTCCTCATGGAGGGAGCAATAGGCCTGACCCCTCCCTGAGGTCTTATAGGCTCTTATAGGCAGCTCATAGGCAGTTGAGCAAGATGAAAGACCCTCCCCCTCCCTGAGGAAATACTGGCTGTTAGCTGTTGTTCAGGAGGGGGAAGTCAGTTACCTCAGCAGTTTAGACACTGGTAAATTAACCTGTAGTATCACAAATAACTCTTCTTTTGTTTACACACACACACACACACACACACACACACACACACACACACACACAAGGTTTGGCAAAATTTTAGTGCCTATTTGCGTTCCTTTTTAAGATTCATTTTCTGTAGACCTTTTACAGTTTTCTACGATGGTCAAATTTATCAGTTACCATTCTTCCCCTTTCCCATTCTAGAGCAGTAGTCACTGTACTTTAGGGCAGACACATTATCTTTTCTGCCCTTAAGAAATCTTCCTAGCGCAGGGCAGTAGAGGCGCACGCCTTTGATCCTAGCACTTGGGAGGCAGAGGCAGGTGGATTTCTGAGTTCGAGGCCAGCCTGGTCTACAGAGAGAGTTCAAGGACAGCCAGGGCTACACAGAGAAATCTTGTCTTGAAAAACCTAAAAAAAAAAAAAAAAGAAAGAAAGAAAAAGAAAAAAAGAAATCTTCCTAGCACTTAGGAGGCTAATTGAAGCAAGAAAATTCCTGTAATTTCAAGGCCAGTCTGGAAAACAGAAGGCCAGGTCAGCCAGAGCTATGCTGTGCAACTGTCTAAAAAAAAAAGCCACATTATCTTGAGATTCCTAGTATTATAATTTTATTCACATAACTTTTCAGAAGACTTTTGTGGTTCCTGAAGAAAAGAAGAGTGATGGATAATTATGAGTTTCTGTCCTTTCATCAGACTTAGTATGTCTCATGGGCACACCTAGTGCATTCCCACACCCCTTGCTCCTGTAGTCTCTGTCACAGCGTGGCAGAAACGACTGTAGTCATTTATAGACCCAAAGCTAGAACCTATTTGCAGTGTGGGCATTAGGTTTACCAGTCCATTCTCAGTATCCTATCTTACTTGGAAATTATCTTCAAAAAACTCCACTGAATATTTGATCTTTAGTTTTCTAAAAACCTCAGAAATACTGATCAAAAGACTACAATATCTTATCATTATTCAACAATTCCTTTTCTTTCAACATAAATTTAGACTTTTTATAATCTTAAATATTTGTTATGAGTAATTCTAGCTCATTTGGCCATGAATATGTATGTTTTTAGAAAAATATTTCTAAGAAACTTAAAATGTATGTTTGTATTATTATGTATAACATTGGGAAATTAGAGAAGACATGCTTACTTACATTAAATTCATAAATCTACTCCTATTGAATATTTTTAAAATCAGAAACCTCCCTAGTCAAGATCTTAAATAGCTATATGCCGTGAAATTTTTAGTAGGTTGAAATTTAAATGTATTAGCTGATCCACTAACGAATTAAAAAGCTGACAGACTAGATTTTCTGTTGTCTTTCACCTAAGGACTCTATTCTATGTAAATTATGGCTACAACTAGAAAACTGCCCAAATCGTAAAGTCAAATCTTCACCTCTTTCTACCAGTCATAGGAAGTCATTTAATAGCCGTGGTATTATATGTCTGTAATCCTAGCACTTGGGAGTTGGAGGCAGGAGAATCAAGGACTTTGACTGTCCATAACTACATAGTGAGTTTGAGGCCAGCGTGAGTTATGTAAGACTGTAAGACTGTCTCAAAACAAAAACAAAAACAAAAACCTGTCCGTCACAAATCAAACAGAAACATAAAGTTAGCATAAAAATAGTAAATACAAGTATCCTGTTGGCACACTGGATCCATCTGTACAAGTCAAGAAGAAAATACCAGGGCAGGCTTTCACTTTACATAATGTGTACGTGTCAACAAGATCTGCCTTCTATGCAATTCTATGGTCATCTTTTCCTGTGTTGCAAAGTGTTTAAAAGGCATTTTTATAGAAAGGGTAAAATCATGTTACCTGTATATATGCTATTTATCCATTCACGAGGGAAATGACTGATATAGCTAGTTCAGTAGGAGAATGTTGACCAGAAATACTAAAATAAATGTATAATTAGAAATAATTTTGTCTTGTTATATTGTTGAAGGGAAAACTATTGAAACTTGAATATCTACTGTATTCCCTTTTTATAACAGTGACCTGACAGCATACAGCCCAGAGCTGGTAAGCAGCAGGGCCTTAGACAATCTCAGAAGATGCCTTGCTCCAGAAGGGACCACCTCTTATTTTAGATGGAGGCAGTACAATTGATGATGACATGTTCCAATATAGTAAAAATACTGATGCCTGTGTTTTAGAGCTTGGCCAGGGCCATTCTAGCCCCATCCTTTGACAAAAGCACAACACAGCTCAGAAAATCGTATGGTGATACCATCGTCAAATGTTGTCACAGACTTTAAATCTATCGATGTGTTCTGACTTCTCTCATGTTATGGCAGTTTTTAGATGGTGGTGTTTTTGAGACATCTAAGTAAATGCACCCTAAGGATTATGATCACTCTGAATGGATATATAGACTGGAGAGAGAAAGTACGAAGCCTGGCAGATTCTTGGATACCCTGAGACACATATCCTTGTAGCTGTGGTAAAAGAGTCAGTGCAGATTGCCAGTACCCTACTATGAGCACATACCCTATTACACACTACAATGTTTTCTTTCTTAGGGCTTTTACCTGTGCCAGAGAATATAGCTTGGGTACTTGTGGGTGCTATGTGGAAGATAACATTCATTGGATCAGTTCAAAACTAAGGGAGGTGGCAGTTAATAGGCAAAGCTGAATTCAAACTGTCCTTCAAATGGATAACTAGGATCTTGTCTACATGAATCTCGGTGAATCCCCAGCAGACATGAATGCATGCAGTATCTTAGAGTAGTAACCAGCTTAATGCTTCTGTTGGTCTTGTGTCTTTTCCTCTTTGCCTTCCCCAACTTTATTTTGTTTTCTTGTCATGTCTCCCGAATGAACTTTTTTTGTTAACCTGTGCTATTTGAAAGTAGATGAATAGAGATGATAACTTGTAAAACTGTGGATAAGGAAGGTAATTTCATCCCGGGACAAATTTTGTAAGAAATTTG